AGCTGCAGCTGCAGCAGAAGCAGAAAAACTGAAGCAGAAGCAGAAGCCCGAGCAGTAGCAGCAGCGAAAGCTGTGTCGTTTCATTCATCCAATATACAACGGGCAGGACGGGCAAAATGATGGTGACCATACCTTCCTTCGCTCTTCCTAAGGGCAGCCCTGTCTTTATATGCCCGGCACTCAAGACGGGCTACTACAACCCCAACAATATTTGAGATAATAAAAAAATATTTATTTATTGTTTTACATTCACTGCTCTTTTTCCTTTTACTGCTCTCTGCAAATTAATTATTCACAATTAAGTCCTCATCTTTATTGCTACTACTTATTATTATTAAGGAAAAACATAAAATGTTTTTTATTTTAAATTATCAAATATAAAATTATAATCACTAAAATTAAAAATTTTAATACTTTATCAAAAGATTATACGATTATTGATTTTTACATGTAAAATTTACTTACACATATTTTTATTGAGGTTTATCGATGTTGAGTCTTTAAATTACTATATGTATGAAAAATTATGTGATATATTATTGATAAAATTTTTAAGTTTTTTTCGAGATAAAAGGGTTATCATGTTCCCTGTTAACATATATAATAGATGCATAAGTCGGAGTAACTATATAAGGTTTTGAATTCAACAAGCATTCTGTTTAAGCATTAAAATCTTATATTTTTAATTTACTACATCTTCCCATTAATTTAAAAAGCTTTCTTCGAATAAATAATTTCACACTGACACACCAAAAGAATATTCCAAATGAAATATTATCAACATGACAGAGGTGATATCCTGTTAGCCAGGTAAAGGCAAAAAGCAAAGAAAACGAGTAGTAGTATTGTTTTTGAACTGCATTAATGATGCTCATGCCATAAATTTAGGACACCAAACTTTCTCTATGGGTAGATAAAAACAATTACCTAACTCCCAAAATCTTCATCAAACTTTTTTCCTTGTTTGAGGAGGTTGCTATTGCCCTGGAATTAAATATTAATCATTAAAATTAAAAGTTTAATGCTTCACTCGATAAATTATGTTATCTAAACTTTTAACGTGGAGAGAGATTAAAAATGTTAGAATTTGAATGGAATTAGTTGCATGGTTGAATTAGGTGAGGAGAAGAAAATTTTGGGGTATGTTTTTAATAATGTGAGAAGCTAAGGGGATGGGAAGTGAAGATGTCAGAAAGTTACAAGGAGAGCGGGATTCAGACTGGGAGTTTTTTCCTTTATCTTTTCATCCGAAAGTCTGAAATGAATCATTCATTCATAATTAGGAGCTTTTAATGCAAGGTGATGGGATGATGTGACAAATGGTGAAACATTTTCCCTGTGGTGGTCCGGGGGGTGGGGGGCTACCACCACAACCACTACACTCTCTCATTGACTCTCCCACCACTCAGACACGACAGGACCATTCTCATTCTCTCTCTCCCACCACTTTTTCTCTTATTTTAGTTATTTTCCCATCTTTTTTTGGAAAAGAAATAAAAACCCATCTCTTCATTCACTTTGATTTCAATATAGACTAGCTGTTTGGTGCTTTTGGTCTCTATTTTTTATAGATTTTTTTAATGTCAAAAGAGTAAATTTGGAGATTTGGTTACCTGGATTGAGATTATATTTATGCAAAGACTTCAACCTGCTAAAAAGGTACACAACAAAAGAATCTGTCTAATTACCATGCAGGAATGTATATATATAAATAGCTAATTGATTTTTGGCCATTCTTCTTTACAGTTTACTCTGAACCGACAGAGGTAAATCAGTAAAAGTGCTTTGTTGCCTTTCCAAAAACAAATGTTTGCTTTTCTTGTTCTAACTTGGAAAATTTTTAAGCACTTTCTTTTCTGAATATGGTCATAAGTTCTGAACCTCATTGAATTGGTATCCAATTTATTATCATCTTGTTTTGGTTAAAAACCTAAACCCATTTTGGCCCACTTCTTAATTCATGGACTGAAGAACTAAACATCCAACAGATTTCATTTGGGTTCAAAGTTCAGCCCAAGTTTAATAGGCAGAACCCAATCCATTACCCATCAATTACAACGTGCTATCTCATTCTTTTTCACTCTTGTCTCTCTCTTTCCATTACTCAGATGAAGTGAGCAATCAGCAATGGCTGGTGCAAATTGCAATGGCCAGTGCCACGCTATGCTTCTCATATCAAAACCCTTCATTTTTCTACCAAAACACATTCTTTTCACATCCCAAAACCTAAAGTTTCTGCCTTTAGATGGAATTCTGCGAGACCCATCAGCCCACTTCATGACTTCTGCAACGTCTGTTTCTCCACCAACACTACCCATTATGAGGTAAAGAAAAAAATTCCTTTTCTTTGCACGTTTTAGTACGTATAATTCTGTGGTCTTTTTTTGGCTCTTTCTTTCTTGTTTTTCTGATAACCAGATAGACTAGGCCAATTACTTTAATTAAGCTTGACATATGGAGTTGTAAACTTTTTTTTTCTCTCTAATCAAGTTCTTGATTTTGGTCTTAAGTTTCAATTTTTCCTTTCTTTTTGGTACTCTTATGGTGTAATAATCCATTAAGGAAAAAAAAAATCAAGATCAGAATCTGAAGCATGAAACTTTTAGACAGGTGCAACAGGGTCAGTAGAAAACCAGATTCTTCTTTTCAGGAAGAGAATGTTTGCTTTTAACTATGTACGTTGAGATTCATTTCTTTGATTGACTGTTGCCCCGTCTATGATAAAACTTTCGGAGTGACAATCCCTTGGAGTAGAAGGAAACTTACCAAAGGTCTGTCTATATATGCGTACATGAATTTGAGAATGTTTTCCTTCGATTTCAGTCATTTTTATCATTTGGGTTTGTTCTTGAGCCATAGTTATTCAACGGAGTGTGTTACAGTTCTCTGATCGGTCTTTTGAAGTGGAACTAAGTTTGCAACTTGGCGGCCAAGATGTTCAAAGTGCCAAAGATGTATTTGTGGATGCAGTTGATACTTCTCTAACAGGTAAAGTATGACAGGCTGGGTCCCTTATCACATTTACAGATACTAACAGTTTGTTTCAGGAAATAAAGCCTGCGGAAACAAATGAACTTATACTATTATAGATCATTACACATTTAGATTTAGTGTCTTGTCTCGAACAGGTATATAGACGATGATCAACTTATTATTAACTTAAAGAAGCAGGATCCGGATTTGAAATGACTGGATATTATGGAATCATGGGAGTCGTTGTCAGCTGGTTCTGTGCAACTCCTTAAAGGAACATCAATCTACATTGTTGCGGATTCCACTGAAATTAACCAAAAAGTGGCTCGTGAACCTGCTGTTACTCATGGGTATTTGATCTACATTCCACCAATCCTGTTACATACTTGTTACTTCTTGATAATTGATTTTCTCATTTCATGTGTTCTTATTGTGAATCTTCATCCTTTGCTGCATGTCATTTTAATTTCAGCAGATGGAAAAAGAACAGTCCTTGTTCTTCAAATTAAGTTTACAACCTTCATTGACATAGTTATATTCCTTGTTAAGTCATTAAAGCAAGAATTCTATCATAGCTATCTTCACTGTACCTTGGTTTGCTTATAGATGATTACGACCCGACTTTTATTTCATATTTGTCCTCTGCTCTAACCATTTGATTGGTTGATATGGTTTCATGTACGCACCACTTGATACAAAAGAGTTTTAGAAACTTTCGCCAAGCAAACTGTTACTTTGTGTGAGTACCTCTTTTCCTTTTCAGTAAATGTTGGTTAGTAATCTTTGAACCTGGCTCCTTGAGGCCCAAAGATATGCACATGACTAAACCTCCTTCAACGCTCTCGTACATAGTTACATACACACATGATGCATGTACATGGGTCTCTCTCTCTCTCTCTCTCTCTCTCTCTCTCTCTCTCTCTCTCTCTCTCTCTCTGTAGTACTGCAACTCAATATATTTTTTACTTTGGAAGCACCTTGAGTCTATAACTGGAGCTTTGTTTAGGACGATGTCACCCATATATACATCTATATTTGCAGGTGTGTGAAGTGTAGCAGTGGACCGTCTCTGTAATCTGCGTATCATTCAATCACCGTTGGATATGATAGATGTCATTCTTGATTCGTCTTGTGCAATATAGCCAGTACAAATCCTTATATCAGAGCATGAAACTCTTCCATTGGTATACACTTGTAATTACTCTGTAGTTCATATACATCTTTGCCGGAATTTTTTATAGATATCTTTATGACCTAGACATTCTACTTCATATACTTCATAAGGAAAAAGAAATTTACTATAATCTAGTTCATATCTTGTTGATTTTCAATGACTTCCACAGCCAGTGTTCTACAAACTCAGAGTGATATCGCTTAAACAGCTTGCAGCTAGTAATTAGTTTGATACATAGCAGGGGCTAAGGCTCTGACCGTGGCTGAAACAGAAAGTTCAATATAAGAAACCTTAAGTAGGTAAGACATTTGCCTTGTTACTTCTTTTGATTTGGTTTGTCATTAAATTATTTAAGGAAAAACAAAGGCCTCTATTTGGCTTGCTTGTTCTGGCAGTCATGTCCAGGCTGTAGTTGCAACCTTAGGAGAGTCACATGGGGCTGCTGTGTTCCTGAAAAATGGAGGCATCTTTATTCAGGGTTTACTGTCTGGTTGTCACAGACTTAAGCTGTAGGTAAATGTGTGTTTTTATCTCAGGCAAAGCTACTGCCATCAGTATGTTTCTTGCTGATAAGTTGCTCCAAACAATTTTGGGACCTATTGATTTGCTAATGGACATACTAGGTTAAGGAATCCTCCATTTTGTGCAAATCTTTTGTAAAAAGATCACTGATTATCTCATGACATACTTCAACCTATCATGATATATACTCTCTACTCCAATGCAGATGTGTGGTTGTGAAGCTCCAGTGTTAGGATGCTTAAAGATGTCCATTTATGTTAAGGCCCATATAGGATGGACAGGCCCACCCATGACCCATGAGGCTTAAGTTTTGACCCCATCTGCCCCAACAATCACTTAACTTTTTCCGATCTCTTTCCGAATAATGCAAGTTACTAATTGTAGCCAGTCACCGGCGCCAGCCGGTAAGCAAACCACTAATCAGTTTTTTTTTCCTTGGGTGAGTAATATTTTCCCATCTTCAGTATCGAATACAAACCCCCAATAGAAATCCCGTACAAGTGCCAGGCAACAATTATTGATTATAGGATAAGGCAGCATGTCCACATCAAGAAAAACTACGATACGGGCTAGGAAACAAGTTAAGGTGAAAACAGAAGTCCTGAGTTCAGTTTATATAGCCAAATCCTCACTACTAGAGAGATACCTAGCATATACGACATTAAGACAAACACATCTAAGCCTACAGTACCTTCAAACATAACCACATCATGTCGACGCATTTCCATGACACGCACCAACAGTTCAAGGATACGCACCAAACCAAACGACTCCTGCACCTTGAGGTCAACATGCAGCAGACCAAACCACATCAAAATGTAAAATGGCCACTCAGAGGCTGCCACGACCCTTCAAGTTCTGCTTTGCCACCTCCAAATCATGCCTAGATGGTATCTGCAATTCGCCAAAAAACTAGATTAGTTTATCGTTAAATCAAATCAAGATATTGTAGTGACATTTGCATTGCATAGCTATTAAATCATGCCACGTCGTTTAAATCATACCTTGCATTGCAGAGACGTTATTGTTGACCTCAACAAGTTATCTCCAACTATTAATCTCAACCTTTTGACAAAATCATCACGGCTAATCTTCTTAGACTGAGAAGCATCCATAAAAATATAATACCAAAGAATCAGAAAACTTATTTAAAAGGGAATATTAACAATCAAACATATTATCAACATACCCTGAAATCTTCATAGTGACTGGTAACTCGTTCCATATCTATACGAGCAATTTTACTTGCGATAGCATCAAACAACATAGGGAAAGGCATCCAAGGAGATTTAGGGGTCTTTGAGGTGTTTGAACCGAGGCTAGGATCGTTTTCTTGGGATCCCCTTGAATCTGAAGTTTTGTGATTAGTAGTCCCCTAAATGACAAAATAACATCAGCAGTAAATATAAGTAAAACTCACCCCAAAAAAAAACATATCAAAACCCACATATTCAGCCTGCACGTATCTTTAGTACAAATACTGTTTGAGTTGCTGTATAACATAAACAAATAGGAATGACTGCCTCGTGATGCAGAGACTGATAAATTACTCTGCTCCATTTTAAATTTCTCGAGAGAGCATCTTTCCCTCCACCAGTCTTGCTAACGTTAGTCAACATTATTTAAAGCCTGTTCGGAAAAAGCCTCTAGTGCAGTGGCTTTTCCATTCACCCCATATGGAGCCTCCGTTAATGTCAATACAGCACTAGCACTTGAAGTACCAGTGGTGTTTCAGCCTCCACTAGGGCTTTAGAGCGAGGCCAATTAAAAAGCCACCGCATTAGAGGCTTTGCAGAACAAAGCCTTAATATCATATAAATACTACATAAACATGTCACACTGCATCAGACAATAATTTGTTGCATCTACAGCTTTAGGACATAGATTTCATAAGTTAGCTTTGAGAATCTGAATGCTCAAAGATCAAAGAGCCACCACCTATGGCACACTATGTCAAGATGAAAGAGCAGGCAAACGAACCAGCAAAACGTAGCATCCCTCAAAAAAGTCAGGATCTTAATACAAGCCATAGGCATAACAACTCGAGATGCTTGTCAAATAAAACAGAATTCCTCCCATAACCATAAACTCATAATGACAGCCAAAGTATCCATAAGGCCTCGAGAGCCTGCTTGTAGACCAAAGACAAATTTCAACAAATCCAGAACCAGGAAGTAAGCATTGGTGTGGATCCATGTCCACCTCAGGGTCGGATCAAGTTGCTTAATGATCCTACTCATTGTCACACGCCATCATGATGTTCAACTGTATAGAGAATGTAAAAAGCATACCACATATATTACTCACCAATTCACCAGCAGATGCCACTACTGGTGTTTGACTCTGAAGTCCTTGAGAAGATGCAGTGACGCCTGAAACAGCATGATTAGTCTCACTTCCACTCAAATGCCCTGTGGGAACAACATAAATTTCAAGAGCTGATGAACTGAAATTTTCAAAAAAGGAAATATATAATAGCAATACAGAATTTGCAGAAGATACAGCCAACAAACTCATTGAGCCAATAGTTGGAGCAATCAGTGATCTCTTGAATGAAAAACAAAGAAGCCCCATCAAGAGATATCAATGCATCATCGAAGATGCATGTTTCTTAAATTAACAAACTTAAAACGTTTACCATCCAAGTTTGAAACAGAGATTGGACAGTTGAGATCGTTTAGTTGATTGAAAACCATAAAAATTTAATTGCCATGTTCCATGAGGAGCATGAGTTCCCACTTTGATGTTAGATAAAAGGAGAATGAATATATTAATCAAAAAAATAGCATTCTAGAGGAGTAATATATAACCTTTAGCAATGGAGGAGAGCTTGAAACTAACAACAAATTCTGGATAAATGTGGGTGTTGATATTCATGTTCCAGATAATATAATACTTTGGATGCAGAAGATCATCCACTCCACTATCAACATCCTCACTGCTAGGAAGAAATTGTTTACTTCCAGGGCAAAGAAGCTCCATCTTTCCCATTATTACACGGCATAATATCAAGTACTGTACTCCATTTTCGTCAACATCACAATACTTTGCACTGCACAAATAAAGGACAATCGTTCAGTCCTCAACATCAGCACGGTTTGGAAAATAAAGCTTGAAAACGTATATATGAAATAAATAACAAAAATTTCATCTGATTGGGATTCAGAACAAGTTAGCATGTAAAGGAAGCAGTTTAGAAAACAGGCAGCCACAAGCCAGTGGCAACTAGCACTTGAAATGTTAAAGAGATTAAAAATAAAAAGCAAAAAAAGTAACTTTTTTTATACCAGTAAGAGGTATGTGTTCATGGTGACCAGATAAGAACATGAATCACCAAAGCACAATACAACATTTTCCCTAAATTTTAGTAGAGCTGAATCTATAAACCTAGTAATGTGGAAGAGAAGACAATGTACCCGTTTTGGATACTTAATTCACAAAATATCACTTTGTTAATAGAAGCCTTCAAGCAATGACAACAATAGAAGACTTGCATATTCAAAAGTATTCACAACAAAAACCGTGAAAAAGACTCCAACCTGGCATTCGTAAATTCTGCTGCAGCAAGATGAACACCAGCACCATATAAGAGAGGAATTTTGGACAGACCACAATGCCCAATCCCATGCATCCTGATTATAGGCACTGCTGCTTTAGAGGAAGCAAGCCAAGCATATCGAACATTTGCATTCCCCCGGTACTTATTCATAATTTGAACCTGCTTCTGAAAGCGCTCAAATCGATATTGAGTTGAAGCACTGGAGCAAGGTTTTATATCAAGAAAATCCACACTTCCAGAAGGGTTCATACCCATAAGAAACATCTTCTCAACGGTATATGAATCCAACCGTTCATCCAACTCTACATCCACAAACTCATTTTCAGGGACTATGCTTATCCTAGTCTGTTGAATATCCTCAACAGCTTTGCTGGGTTTTGCATCAGCATTCCCGTCACAATTATCCTCAACCTCTACAGCACAATGACTGGAGGCAGGCTTCTGAGCAATTTGAAGATGTCTAACAAAAGAACTTGACTCCCCACTACATTCCTTCAATTTTGTTTGGTCAACACCCTTAATGTCAATCTCAAGCTGTAGCTTGATCTCAGAGGGGGCATACGACTTGCCAAACATGGATTCTTGATCATTTTCGTATTCATGTTTGCAGCACTGATCTGGTTCATCCTCAACAGCAAAGATTTCAGGGAAGAAACAGAAATCTGCCTCATCAATCCAAGCAATGGGTTGTTTCAAGCCAGTTCTCCGGTCCAGTCTAAACATATGCAAGAAGTCTAGCACAAAAGATTTACCATCTATCTCAAGCTCAATAAACGGCTTCTTTGCATCAAGATCTTTCCTAATAGAGGCAATGAGATCATGGGGAAAATCAGTCCATTCACCTTTCTCAAAAAACATTATGCGCTTAGGAATGCCTGTTTTCCTAAAATTTGAATAGCAAAGCAGCAAAGATCTTTTTGAAGGATAACCACAACTCACAACTTTGCCTTTGCAATCTTCAAATCTCCTCCGTTTGCCATGTTTCTGGGATAACAAACTCAAGCTGGGCAACTGTGGTGATATCACATGCGAAGCTCCAGGAAAATATGTTGTATGCTGCGCTGCCCGCTTTCTCTTCATGCCATGCAGTACCCTGGGCTTACTATCCAACACCGTGGCGTTCTGAGCTTCCATTTCTACCTAGATCAATCCCTATCAACAAGTTTAAAGCCAAAACTTCTTATGTAAAAACGAATATGAAGTCTAGCGTTCTACCAAACTCAAAGAGACTGTCTCCTAAAAGTTGATATGCAAATCCTGAAAATAAAAAATAAAAAAAGTCAGGATATTTAATGACATAGATATCAAGTCAAACTAACTGGAACATAAGTAACAAAATTTCAGACTGAAGACAACCAATTCATCAAATTAGCAGCTCAAAGCATATCAAACCAAACTTATTAGAATCACCAAACAGCAAGAGGAACACATACCTAGAACTGCAATTAGTTTCGGTCCTGTACATATTCATGTTGCACATGTTCATCTTGCACATATTCTCCTTCTTTTCTCTTTACAAGTAATTCACAGATGAGAAGGCCCCTCCCTTATTTATTCTACTGCATTAATTAGCCCTGCCTCCTATTGCAGCATATAACAACGCCTAAGAATATTGTGAAAAAAAAAATTTATAAAAATTATGGATCAACGATTCTTTGGTTTCATTTTTATGTGTCCAATTGTATAAAAGAAATACACAGATTTCCTTTTTTTTCTCTTTTTTCCTTTTTTCTTTCAAGCTTCTGAGCAACAAATTTTACAGATCAAACATCATGTTGACCTTTAATAAATCACAGAATTTTCAGTAAAACCACAAAATTTACTCAGATCAGAGTAAAAGTAATTAATAATATTACTAATCAAATAAATGTTGAAATAAGAAACGGCGTTGACCTGAACAAACAAACAATTTTTTAAAAAAAATAACAAAAATAATTACGAAAATCTGTAAATCAGAAAACTGTTGGCCTCAAAAAGCAAAATTAAGCAACCAAAACTATTCCAAAAATTTAAATCCTACACTGATTCCTGTCAAGAAAATTGGGCAAAAAATCAACCAAATAAAATAAATCAATATTCAGAAAATATTAAAATAATAAAAAAGTCAAAACTTTATCACTGCATTTAAATAAACTCTTAAATTTTTATTACACACAAATAAGCACTAAAACTTTAATTTACATTCAAAAAAAATCTTAAACTAAAATTTAATTTATAACAAAATAAACCTTAATCTTTAATTAGTATCTAAATAAGCCTTTTGAAGTAAGATCTTATATAAATACAAATGAAAAGACACAGATTTATTTGAATACAATAAAAAGATAAAAAAAATTATTTAAATACAAATGAAAAGACACAGATTTATTTGAATACAATAAAAAGATAAAAAAATTATTTAAATTAGCCTTCAGAAAAACTGATAATTTCTCGTAAATACTTCAAGTCTCGAGATCAAAAATATAAAATCAACCTAAAACATATTTCTCCAAATTAACAAATTAAATATTTTCTAAACTGAGCAAAAAAAAGATCAAAAAATAAGATTTCAGGAAATCTGGTAATTTTTCTTGGCCCCTTAACGAACATAAGCCGGAAATTGCAAGAACAATCAAAGAACGAGGAGAGAAACTGAATTAAAGTGCAGGAATTAAAAAGAAATTGCAAGAATTAACAAAGAAAAGTGAAAAACCGAACTGAGTTGATCTTAGTAACTACCGAGTCATGGAAGAAATAACTAGATCTAGAACTTGTTAACGCGAAAAATGAAATATATAATACAGCGAGATCGAGAAAATTAAAAAGAAAATAGGAAAAATTCAACATAGAATACATATATATATATATATATTCCAAAATTTTAAAAACTCCATATTTTTCTTGGCCGGAAAAACTTGGTCAAGCAAATAAAAAGAACAATAAGATTTTAGAAAATATTGTAATTTCTCGCTAACAATGCAAGATCAAAAAAATAAAATGAAAACCCTAAAGCATAATTTCTCAAAATTAACATAGGAATATATCTTTCTCGATCCCCCAAAAAAGCTATATCCACAGAAATCAACTATAAAATAACTAATCATTCAACAAAACCAAGTCAACACCCCGCATATGCCAAGATCTGGCCGATTTACCAATCCGCACTCAAAAAATTAAATCCAAAAAAAAAAAAAAAAAAAGAATCAAGATTCAGAAAAACTGGTAATTTCTCGCAAATACTTTCGAGTCTCGAGCTCAAAAAAATAAAAAGAAAAATATAAAATCAACCTAAAACATATTTTCTCCAATTTAAAAAATTAAATATTTACTAAACTGAAAATAAAAGGAAAAATTAAGTATTCAAGATATCTGGTAATTTCTCGCAAACAATGCAAGATCGAAAAAAAATAAAATGAAAACCCTAATGCATAATTTCTCAAAATTAACATAGTAAATATCTTTCTCGACCCCCAAAAAAGTGCAATATTCACAGAAATCAACCATAAAAAATTAATCATTCAACATAACCACGTCAACGCCCCGCAGATGCCAAGATCTGGCCCGATCTACCAATCCGCACTCGAAAAATTAAATCCAACAAAAAAACGAATGAAAAAAAGAAACCTAAACTAAAAGAAAATGAAAGATATTACCTGCGGATGAAACAAATTTTGTAGTCATTCTTTTTTCATAAGAGAGGATTTTTCTTTTTATTCTTTAATTCCTTTTTTTTTTTTTAGAAAGGGAAGAGAGGGAGAGAGAAGAAGAAAAAAAAAAAAAAAGGATTTTTGGGAAAACCTAACTCAAAATGAGATACGACGCCGTAAATAGCAACGACTCTTTCTCTTATTGATTAGAGTTGACGGCGTTTTCAGAGTTGGCGGTCTTCGTATCTCGTGTTTCTCAATTTTCTTTTGATCTTTTCCCTATATGTCCCCTTCTTGGACGGAAAGCAAGGGCGAATCCAACAACCAATGTTTAATACGGGGGAATGATAAAATCACCAGCTGGCACACATGGTTCTGTCACCTTGCCGGTTTTGATTGGAGCAATGGTTCTGTTCGGTAAGGGTCATTTTCGGGATTGAAAAATCATTTAAAGGCGGTTGTTATGAAGGGTAGTTTGGGGAATTAAAACTTAAGTCGGATAAATTTGGGAAAAATAGTGTGCTAACTACTGTTTTTTTTGTTCCTTTCTGACACTTCTTTTATAATTTTGAATTGATAAAATAAAATAATTGAGGGAAGATGGGCCCAATTGCAACGAAGATAAACTTTGTGAGGTTCGTGTCAATCTTTCAATTATTGATGACGTGTCGGTATGGTTACATGATAAAATGTTTAAATTTAAAAAAAAAAAAATTTAATAAAACTTTTCATTATTAAATAAATACAAATTAAATTTAAATTATAAATAATTTTTTTATATATTATTAATTTTTACATTAAATTTTATCAATTTATTAATTTAAATTTTTTATTAAATTATTTTTAAAAAATAATATCACAAATTTTATATAAATAATTTTATTTAAGTTTTGTCCGAACCCTCATCACTATACTAGGAGTGATATTAATTTATATTGATTTGGATTTAATTTAATTTCTTAAATAGTATATAGTATTATAAATTTTTAAAATTTAATATGAATTTGAATTAATATATATGTGAAATCAATTTGAATCGATTTTATTAATTTGATTCACTAATTTTAAATTAATTTATTTTTTATATATTATTTTAATATATTTAAATATATTAAATCTAAATTTATTATAAATATTTAAAAATATATAAAAGTTAATAAAATATATTATTTGATTCAATTTGATTTTTTTAATTTTTTATTTATTGATTCAAAATTTGAACTAAATCATATATGTATTTAATATTCAAATATAATTTAATTTAAATAAAAATATTCAAATCAAGTTAAATGTTACACATTTAAATCAAAATTCAAAATTTTCATATGTTTTTTATTCCTAACAAACACTATCAATGAGAAAATCAAAACAATTAAAAATCGATTCAAAATTGTAATATTTTATTCGGGTTGAATCAAAATTTTCTTCAAATTGAATTAAATTTATATATTAAATCTATATATTAATTTTGAATTGGGATGTAAAAAATAAAAAAACAAAGAACCAAATCAAATTATATATTTTTATTATTTTTTTATATATTTTATATTTATACAAAATAAAAATATTTATTTTATATAAATATATTAAAATATATTAAAAATCTTATTAAAAATAATATATAAAAATAAAAAATTAAATTGAATATATATAATTTAATTTAGATCGGATCTGTTTTAATATAATATCAATTTAAATTTTGATCAAATTTTAAAAATTATAATATCATATATTATCAAAAAATTTTAATTAAAATTTATCCAAACTATTATCACTATTAATTAACTCAATAACTGCTGCTTGTCTTGTAGCCCATCCTCTAAAAAATAAGGTCATTTTTTATAAATATTAATAGTAAGTAGATCTGTTCACAAATTGGACTAGCGGTTCAAATCCAAATATTCATTTAGAGTATGGTATTTGATATAATTTGTTTACAAAAAAAGAGAAAAGAAAAAAAAGCTCAACGGACTTGAACAAAAAATTGAATTCATTTAAAAAAATATAATAGACATTGGCTCAAATTTAAAAAATTTAAAGCTCACATTGGATTCCATCTGATTCCATAATATATAATTCAAATAGGTTATATCCGTTTAAAAAATATATGATAAGTTATCTTTATTTTTAATTTTAATAAAAAATTATTATTTTTAAATATACAGACCAGCATGTATCGGTTATTATATGAGCAAGTTTAAATAAAATTAATGTCCACATAATCAAATTCAATCATATTTGTAAATAATAAAAGTAAGAAAACAAATTAAATTTTATTTAAAAATATAATATTTGATTTAATTTAATTTAATTTTTTTATTTGATTCGAATTAAATTGTGTATACATTACTTTTAGATCCAATTTCATATTGATAAATGACAAATCAAATAAAAAATCAAATTAAATTATATATTTTTATTAAATTTTGTATATATTTTATACTTAAATAAAGTTGAATATATTAAAAATCATATTAAAATAGTACATAAAAATAAATTTAAAAAATATGATTAATCAAATCGAACTGATAAAATTTGATTTAATTTTAAATTAAATTTAAAATTTTATAATTTTATATATTATCTTAAAAATTAAATTAAATTCGATTCAATTCAAATCATTAATACTTTTCTTAAAAACATGTATCATTTTAATAACGCATTTAAATTGAATTCAATTTTAAACCGATCAACCTATCCATGAAAACCTTTACCAGCAAGTATTTATTTGCTCTTATGATTTTCTTTTTGTTGGCACTCGGTACTACTTTATTTGGTTTTGGCCTTCTAGGTAAATGCCGATACCGTAAAGTATGGTAATAAAGCAATGAGAAGCTTCCTCCACCTAAGCAATACGTCGTTTGACATATCAATTGCCGGACTGCGACTTAAGGACTCGGTAAATTGAAGCTCACTTTAAATAATGACTTTAAAAGAAATTTAAAGTGACATCAATAGCCGGTTTGATACTTAAGGATTTAGTAAACGATATGCTTGTCGAGTAAGATGTCATTTGACAGGGATATTACAAATAAAGAGTGAATTACAATCAATAAAATTAATGCACATCAAGATTTTTCATATCATACTTATATTGAAATATAAGCGATGAAAGTGAAGTGGAATTGCCCTAATGTAAAACTAATATAATAAATTTCAAATATATATTTTTATTATTAATTTTAATAAAATTTACTATTATCTTTTTTTTTGTTATCAAAATTAATATTATAATTCATTCAAATGGATCCCAACAGTTCACCGTATAAGATAAATAACATTTGTGACTTAAAATATAAGTCACGAATTATGTGAATCAATTGACGGATGGAGAATAACTTATTATAATTAATGATGGGTTGGTGTGAAAATAAAAAATAAAAATTAATTTAAAATTGTAATATTTGATTTAGTTAAAAATAATTTATGTTTTTATTCGATTTGGATTAAAATAAAAAATTATATATATTAAATTTAGATTGAATTTTAAATTGAAATATGAAAAATTAAAAACAATCGAATGAAATTTTATATTTTTAGTTTTATATAATTTTTTAAATTTTTATAAAATAAATAAATTAATTATTATATATATAAAATTATTAAAATATATTAAAATTTTTATTAAAATAATATATAAAACAAAATAATTTCAAATTTTATAAATCAAATTAATAAAATTCTATTTCGATCAATTTAAAAAATTTTATTTAAATTATTCTTACTGTAGACACCAGATCAATTGGGCCTGGCCCAAATGAGTAAGCCTAATTCAATTTTTATCTTGTATTATTTTTTTTCTTTTGTATTTTATGTATTTTATTATTTTTTATTATTATTATGTATTAATATATGTATATTTTATTTATTTATTTATTTTTTATTTTTTTGTTAATATTTATATGTATTTTATTTATATAGTTATATATTTATTATTATATTATAATTTATTTATTATTCTTTTTTTCTTGTAATATTTTTTTGGATTTATCTTATTGTATTTCTAATTATCTGTTAATAATTTTTTTCTTTTATTTTCTTGTTCCGTTTATATGATTTTTGTTTATCTGATTATTATATTATTATTATTATTATTTTTTGTTTTCTTTTTTTGATGGCTGTGATTGAAAGTTGATGAATCTCATTGTGAATGGGAATTCAATCAAAAGAGTCCAGATTGAACTCAAAGATTGAATCCCCGTTCAAGGAGGAATTGTGATTGATCAGGAACTCCTGATCAATCCCTATAAAAGGGACCTCCTGGAACAGATGCTGAACGGACAAAATAGTGAGCAAAACTACTGATTCGAGAGAAAATGAGACAGATAGGAAGCTAAAAAAAGGTTTATGAGTGTTCTGAGAGCTAGCAGAAATTTTTTTGAAGATTTTTGACGATTTTTTTTCTGAGAATTTCTGGAAAATTCCAGATTTCGATTGAATTTTTCGGTGAAGTTTGAATTTTTCGACGAAAAAAGAGGTCTCCAAAGTCGATGCTTCTAATATTACTGATGTAGGAGGTATTACTCAAAGTGGGAGATGTTACACCTCAAAAATGCTAGAGAAGGCTAAAAGAAAGAAGGCTAAAGAAAAAGAAAGATGGAATAATCTGAAGATAGAGCCTGAAAAAGATCAACCAAAGCCAGTATCAGAAAGAGAGGTTTATGAATTTTTAAAGCTGATAAAACATAGTGAGTATTTAGTTGTGGAACAGTTGAATAAAATGCCAGTTCGAATCTCATTATTATCACTGTTGCTGAACTCAGAGCCACACTGAAATGCCTTGCTGAAAGTGTTGAATCAGACGTACGTGGCACATAACATGTCTGTCGAATATGTGAACCACTTGGCTGGAAATCTAGTTATACCAAATCGTATTTCATTCAGTGATGATGAGATTTCTTTAGAAAAAAAAATGCCAAGGCTCTGCATATCACAGTCAAGTGCAAGAGCCATATCATAGCCAAAGTCCTTATCGATAATGGTTCTGTCATCAATGTCATGCCTATTTCAACTTTGGCAAGGTTACCCATTGATTACTCTCATATGAAGGACAGTCAGATGATTGTGAGAGCCTTTGATGGAACCAAAAAAGAAGTCTTGAGGGATATTGAG